GATACTGCTCCTGGGTCACAGATGGTGGCGTCATCTGGGGACACATCTATACAGAAGCTCTCCACTCATACTCCAGTTTCATCACATGCTCAAACCCATGATGAAGCTAGCCATGCCAGGAGATCAGCGGGAGAAGGGAGACAGTGGCAGAGCCACGCGGTTCTAAAACCAGGTCTCCACTTGGCTGGTTTCTGCCTGGGTCTCTGAAGATGCCTGGAGCGAATGCAGAAGAAAATATGAACCAGCAGCCGGGACAAGGAGACTCCACTCTGAAGTCTGAAACGGGAACAGAAGGTCAGATCGGAGATAGCTGGGGCCACCAGTCAGATGTCTTTTTACAGTGTCTCCATCCTATTGTGAACACATGGGATTTGGCCACCAGGAGAGAGAGATAGGGTTGCTTTTGAGGGCTGCAGAAGCCTGTTATTTTATCCTTGCTCTTGAATGACAACCTCTTCAGCTCTCTCAAGAGAGCCCTGGGCCCAGATTCCAGGCAGTCCTGCTGGCCTGGCTCCCACTGGCCCCTCCCTGGGAAGGCTCTAATCTGCTGCCCAGCTCCCTGCAGACTCCAGGGTTAACATGATATAGGCATTGGGTCCGCTTTGACCTTATGGGGCGCTGCCTTCTGTTCAGCAGATTCGGTACTTTGGTCATCTTCTCTTAGGCCTTCAGGACAGAGGGGTAGGCTGTGCGTCCCTGTCTTAGTCAAGTTTTCTATTGCTGCAAAGAGACACCACGACCACGGCCACTCTTTTTTTTTTTTTAAAGATTTATTAATTTATTATGTATACAGAAGAGGGCGCCAGATCTCATTGCAGATGGTTGTGAGCCACCATGTGGTTGCTGGGAATTGAACTCAGGACCTCTGGAAGAGCAGTCGGTGCTCTTAACCACTGAGCCATCTCTCCAGCCCCCACGGCCACTCTTATAAAGGAAAATATTTAATTGGGGCTGGCTTACAGTTCAAAGGTTCAGCCCATTATCATCACGGCAGGAAGCAAGGCAGCACACAGGCAGACATGGTGCTTGCTGGAAAAGGAGCTGAGAGTTCCACATCTTGATCCACAGGCAGCAGAAGCAGCTGTGTCATATTGAGCATGGCTTGCACAAGGGAGACCTAGAAGCCCACCCCCCACAGTGACACACTTCCTTCCAACAAAGCCACACCTACTCCAACAAAGCCACACCCACTCCAACAAAGCCACACCGTCTAATAGTGCCACTCCCCAAGGAGGCCATTTTCTTTCAAACTACCACAGTCCCCTAGGCTCTGTTCTATGACTTGTTGGGTATTGGAACTGCCTTGACCCATGACTCTTGAGGCTCACAGAAGATCTTGGACTTTTTTTTTTTTTTTTTTTTGCTACTCTAACTGAAAGTTTGAGACGATGCAATTTATTCAGAGAAGAAATTTATTACTTAGATTTCTGGAAGCTTGGAAGTCCAAGGTTTAAGGCTATATCTGGGGACAGTCCTCTTGCTAGTAGTGACTCTGTGTAGTGACACATTCAGGAGACATAATGGCTGGGACAAGAGACCCTTCAGATAGTCTTCAACCCATGAATGAACAAGTCTGTTCATGTGAGCCTCTGGAAGACCCACCTGGACCCGTATCTCAATACCTCACAGTGGGGATTATATGTCAGCTTGAGTTTGAGCGGGGGACAATGGCACCATAGCTTGGTATAACCGAGAATCCATCTAGGTCTGGTCAAAGGTGTACTCCTCTAGGAAGCCAGCTCCAGTCACCCACAGCCACCAGCATAGAGTACACTCTCCCTCCTCTTGGTCCATTGCATTTTGAACTCTTCAGGTGACCCGTGGGAACCTGCTGTGTATTGAAATTCGATTATGCGTGCATATGTACCATCAGCCTTGAGCTTTAGTAAAGGTTTCCTGGGAGAATGTATGAAAGGACAGATACGGTCCTTGTCATGTGTTTCTGTCACCCTGCACACCTACAAGGAAAGACCTTCCTTCCGTTTACTCAGGAGCACTCATCACCACCTCCGTATGCTGGGCCCTGCTCTTGGTTACAGACGGTAACAAAGCCGCACACCCCCAAGGAATTACAGTTAAGGGCAAAACAAAGCAAAGTCACACAAGGCAAAGACGGAAAGCAGACAGGCAGACAGATGGCAGCAGCCGCAGAAGACATGTAGAAGACCTCAGGCAGGGGCATGACTGGGAGCCAGTGTGGGTCCACAGAGACATGTAGAAGACCTCAGGCAGGGGCATGACTGGGAACCAGTGTGGGTGGGGCAGAGTAAGTGAAGGACAGAGTGGGGAGAAGGGAGGGCCATGAGTCCTGCGGGACACAGTGGGTGTTAGTGGAACAGGAAGCTGTTGGGTGGTATTTTGTTTGTGTTCTGACAAATAAAGCTTGTCTGGAGACCAGAGGGTGGAGCTAGCTACAAGTAAACCATAGAGGCCAGGCAGTGGTGGCACACACCTTTAATCTCAGCACTTGGAAGGATCATGTCTTTGATCCCGGCACTAGGGAGGCTCACACCTTTAATCCCAGTACTAGGGAGGTGGAGATAGTAATATAAGGTGGGTGGAGACAGGATCTCGCCCCCTTTAGGTCTGAGGATCCGGAGAGGTAAGAAGTCCCTAGTGGCTGCTCCTTTGCTTCTCTGATCCTTCAGGTTATTACCCTGATATTTGACTCCTGGTTTTTATTGAAAGACTAAATAGACCGATGCTTCAGGAAGCTACGGTGTGTTGTCTGCTGCGTCATGGCATGGAGGAGGGCTGTGCTGTCCACCAGCTGCTCTGTCATTGACAACTCATACCAGGGACATCAATGCTGATCTACTCCTGAGACTCAGCCCTCAGGGCCCCATTACTGCATAGGGGCCTCAGCTCTCAACATGTGCACTGGGGGACTAAGACTCCAAAACATGCTTTCGAGGGGACATTCAAACTCCAGCAGAAGTCTAGACTGTAGGATAGACTCCATCATGCCACCTGCAATATGTGTATGTGCTGATTTTCAGAACCCATGAACATTATATGGAAACAGGGGTTGGATACGTGATTGAGTTAAAGACCTGGCAATGAGGGAACTCTTCTTGATGGGTCATGGTGTGACTTCAAGTGATCTTGTTAGAAAGGGATGGAAGATGAGTAAAATTCAGAGGAGGGGATGCGAAGATGGAGTCAGAGGTTAGAGTGATGTGGCTACATGACAAGGAACTTGGGCAGCCCCTTAAAGTTGAAAGAAGTAAAGAATGGACTCTCTGCAAACCCTCCAAAGAAAGCTTTGTCAACACATTGATTTTTCATTCCATAAGACTTCTGATCTACAGAATTGTAAGATGCAGACTCAGTGTTGCCTTAAGCCAATAATGTAGTAGTTTGTCACAGCAGCAGAAAGAAACTAAAGGAACTAAAGAGGTGTAAGTTTGGGGCCATATAAAACCCGTGAGAACCGTGAAGTCACCGTAGGAACAAGTATGGACAGAGAAGAGGTCAAAACACAGAGAACTGGAGTTGGGATGACAAGGAGGATGAGCAGAAGTGAGTGGACAGGATGTGCTGTCTGGGGATAATTGGGAAAGTGTGGTATCCAGATCACGGGAAAATATACTGGGGCTGGAGAGATAGCTCAGTGGCTAAGAGCACTGGCTGCTCTGCCAGAGGACCCAGGTTCAATTCCCAGCACCCACATGGCAGCTCACGACTGCCTATAACTCCAGTTCTAGAGGACCTGCATCACAAATACATCTGATAGGACAGTAATGGCTGCTGAATACACAGTGGTCACAGTGATGCCGTCACCAGGAACCCATTTGGGAAAGCTGTGTTTGTTCCTGCGACAAAGAGTTGTGAGGACTTTCTAAAAAGCAACCCTTTATGGAATCTGCACTGTATCTTCCTAAGTATTTTTTTTAAAAGTCTCTTTCTCACTGAGTATGCTGGGCACTTAATCCTAGCACTCAGGAGGCAGAGGCAGGAAGATTGCCAAAGATTCAAAGTCAGCCCGTCTCCATAATGACTTCTACAACAGCTACGGTCTCCATCTCAGTTAAAAAAAGAAGAAGAAGAAGAAGAAGAAGAAGAAGAAGAAGAAGAAGAAGAAGAAGAAGAAGGAGAAGAAGAAGAAGAAGAAGAAGCATCCCAAACTCAAATACAACTTTCATCTAGGACATAGCAAGAATTGTGGACTGTTTGTTTCTCTATCTAATGAGTTGCAGATGAATCTCTCCCAGGGGGGAGGCTGATTTACCTGCAAGTCAGAGACTAGATATGGACTCCTGAAATCATGACCCTCCCAACACAGGGGTTCTCTGGAAAAGCTCTAAGAAACATCTTTTTTTTTTCCCTGTCAAACACTATAAAACTTGTGTTCATGACAAAAAGTTAAAATCTTTTTATCTCCTCACCTTGTAAAATATTTATGCAAATCCCTGAGTTGACTTCTGGCCCCACGTGCTTGCTCTTCCGCTTTGTGAGATGTTCACCCTTCTGATCAGAAGTAGCAATTTGCCTTGTGCAAACTGTAAACGGACAAATCTCTCCCACCTGCTTGTTCCCAAATAACCATTCAGAGGCTTATATTAATTATAAATGTTTGGCCAATGGCTCAGGCTTATTACTAGCTAGCTCCTACATCTTAAATTAACTTGTAAGCGGAAGCTTCTCGGTCCTGCCCAGCCCTGTGGTCCCACAGCTGCTTATAAAATAACCACTCAGGGCTGGAGAGATGGCTCAGAGGTTAAGAGCGCTGGATGTTCTTCCAGAGGTCCTGAGTTCAATTCCCAGCAACCACATGGTGGCTCGCAACCATCTGTAATGAGATCTAGTGCCCTCTTCTAGTCTGCAGACATACATGCAGGCAGAACACTGTATACATAATAAATAAATAAATCTTTAAAAAAAAATAACCACTCAGAGGCTTATATTAAGCCTCTGGCTTAATATGGCTTCAGCTTCTTGCTAGCTAGCTCTTTCATCTAAAATTAACCCATTCCTATTAATTTATATGTTGCCACGTGGATGTGGTATTACTGGTCTGCTGACTTGTTGCTTCTTTGGCAGTGGCTCATGTCTCTCTCAACTCCGCCCTTCTCTCTGTATCTCTGCTTGGATTTACCACCTGGATGTAAGCTTTCTTGCCGTTGGCCAAAACAGCTTTATTTATTATCCAATAGGAGCCACACATATTCACAATATACAGAAAGACATCCCACAGCACTTCCCCTTTTCTGGATAATCAAAAAGAAAGGCTTGAACATTAACATAGTAAAATTATATATAACAAGACAGTTATCAAGCAAGAATTACAGTTACAATATCTAGTCTATTTATATTTGGCAAAATTAAAGAAAACATTCTATCATCTATCCTATTTTTGTGAGTCTAAAGTTTTATATCTAATTTATCTTTTATCATGACTAAGGAAAACTATAACTATCTAGTCTTCAACTCCATCAAAGACCCCAGAAGGATATAATATTACCTGAGTAAACAGGAAGTGCATGGCAAGCAACTTCCATAATTCTGGAAATGACAGAGACATCTGGCTGCCTGGACAGTCATCCCAAGTTCCTCTGTAACATTGGGGCATCTATCTTCAGCCTACAGATCTAGAGTCTCTGGCATAGCTTTCAGTGAAGCAGGAAATTATAAAGACTGTTCTGCCCATTATGGAAAAGTTTGTCAGTCGCTTCTCCCTATGTCCCGTAGAATATCTGACAGTTTCTTCTGCAAAGCAGGAACCTGAAGGACCATTTAGCCTTGCAAAGTTCAGTGGTCACCTTCCTATGGGTCCTGCATGTCCAGTTTATACAGCATCCTGTCAAGCAATTGAGGAAAGAGTACTTTTTTGCCCAGTGGCTAACTTTTGCCACAAAGAAAGCAAACTCCACATTGAGTTTCTTCAATGCCCATCATCCTCTTTGAAATAATTGGTGCTGCCAGGAGCAGATGTGTCTTACTGTCCAGAAAAATCTAAGTTTTTAAAACATTTTAAATGCCATATCCTGTAGGTCTTTGAAGTGTTTGAAGATTATCTATCTAATTGAAGTATATCTTTGTATACTTAAAAACTTAACTAACAAGATTAAAAGTTTGATTATCATAGATGACTATTAATCTGTATTTCTTAGTATATATTATAATTTTAAATGAGTTGCATGAACATAATACCTTAAACAAGAATATAAATATAAATACAGTATAACAAAATTGACCTTAAATTTGTATTAATAAACCAATATCCATAACAATGTAAAGTACTTTGAGATTAACACGTTTTTTTTTGGATTAAAGTAGATTCAATAATTTACATTTTTCTTATCATTTCTATATCCTATCTTCCTTTCTTCTTTTAGAAAGAGCTTGACTATGGCCAATAACAATTTATAACCAATCTCTTAAAGGCAAACATCCATAATTCATTTTGGGGGTATGGGGGTGAGGAATGTGGGCTTAGTCCTCTAGGCTACTTGTTGCTGATTGGGGATGCTGTTAATCTTATGGGGATCCTGAGGGAATTCAAGGTAATGGTCAAGTCCTGGGGAGACCAGCTATAGTCTTTGTTGATAGATACCATCTGTCAAGGTTCAGGAGGTCTCATTTGATCAAATCTGATCCATATTAACCTGGAACAAATCCATAGCCTCTTGCTTCCTGTGGAAACAAAAGCAGAGCCTTCTTTCCAAAAATAACATATCCTTAGACCTAAAATTTGAAGTCAAGATACTTTTAAAATAAATATATTAGTTTAACTCAGCAGCCTTTACAATAAAATGTCTCTCTCCAGTTAAAAAATCTCAAAGACGGGCTGGAGAGATGGCTCAGAGGTTAAGAGCACTGCTTGTTCTTCCAAAGGTCCTGAGTTCAATTCCCAGCAACCACATGGTGGCTCACAACCATCTGTAATGAAATCTGGTGCCCTCTTCTGGCTTGCAGGGATATATGCAGACAGAACACTGTATACATAATAAATAAATAAATCTTTAAAAAAAAAAATCTCAAAGACAACATAACCCAGACTCTGTGTAATTTTCATCTTTACGTGGCTTATTATATTTTTTATATATCATTTTATTTTTAAGACTTTATTTTATTTTTATGACTATCTATATCCCTTCTCTTCTCCCTCTCAAGTCTACATACCTTTTTACACACAATGTAAACTGTTTAGAGTTTTATTCCATCTGAATCTGTCTTCTTGTGCATCTATAATCCTTTTCTGCCCAGGAGAGATTTCAGACTGTTAAGCTACATGGCTAGGACCCAATCTGCAGCTTTGTCTGCTGACCCTGCCCTATTCGGCTTCCCAACATGGTGGAGGTATATCTACCACCAGCTCTGGGAAGCAGTGGCTCTCTGCCTCCATCAAGCAGTACATAGCCCAGAAACCTTTTTTTCTTTTGTCTGTACTAGCAAAAGCTAAATCTCCACGCAGCATGCTGCATGGCTTAGAGATACCTCTTGTGTACCGTGACAGGAATCTGCCATGCTGTAGGTCAAGCCCACATGCCCAGAACCCACCATGCTGTAGGTCAAGCCTGCACACCGAGGAAGCATCTCTGTATCACAACTCGCATGAGAGACACAACTAGGAAGCTGTTCTTGGCTCTGTTTTAGAACCCTTTTTTAAAGCTTCCTTGGGTTTTAGGTGGAAATTTGTGCCCCATGCTGGGCGCCAGATACTGTGAGAAATCAAATAGGAGTCTACTTAAAGAGTATTAGGGAAATTTATTAGGATAAATTGAGGAAATACACTCACAAATAGAGAACCAAGTAGATAGCTGAAGTTGTCCTCTGATCTGACCGGGAGTGAATCCACCTGGCAGTTCGATCTTACCAGGAAGCAAGAAACAGGTAGAAGGGGCCTCATGACCCCTTTTCCTTTCCTTTTAAGAGGTTACATACAACGGCAAGAAGCACCACCTCCTTTGGGCCATATAGCCCAAGGTCATGGGCAGAGCAAATACCACCACATTAACCCACTTCTATTAATCTATGTATTGCCACATGGCTGTGGTGTTACCGGTCAGCTGGCATCTTACTCCTTGGGCAGGTGGATGGCATCTGCTTCAACTCCACCTTTCTTTCTCCCTCTATTCAGTTTGGCTTTCCCACCTAGTTATATTCTGCCTGGCTATAGGCCAAATCAGCTTTATTCATTAACCAATGAGAGCCACACATGTTCACTGCATACAGAAAGATATCCCACAGTAGTGGATATTTTAACTGGGAAGATGATCTCTCTCTTTTAAAATGCTAGACTTCACTCTATTCCATGCCTGGGCAATACAGTAGAGCTGGCCCTGAAGGTATAGGTGTTGGAGATCCAACCCTGAGGACATGAAAGCAGGAGAATCACCTCTTGCTCATGGCTGCAAGGGGTGAACTCAACAGGGCAATGCAGAAGAGTTCACCCTGATTGTGAGGATGGGGGAGAGCTGATGGGCTGACCAATCCTGCAACTACCCAGGCCTAGAACCAGGATTATGAGTTGGCCCACCCCAACATCCACCCGATCTGCGATCTTCTGGAGCACACGAGGGGACCGGTCCTGCAGACCCAAAGCTGCAGGGTCTCCACAACACAGGGCACCAGCAGGACATCCAAGAGGAGTCCTAGTGAGGGCCCAGCATCAATAGTGTAGAAGAAACCAGAGGCCTCAAACCCAACCACTGACTCTCTGCAACGCACACTTGCAAGTAAAGACCTATGGATGAAAGGGTTCACTGTGACACACACTGTGTCACACTACAGCTCCCATGACTTTCATGACTTCCAGATTGATTTTTTTCCTTCTCTCTCTCTCTCTCTCTCTCTCTCTCTCTCTCTCTCTCTCTCTCTCTTAAATTTCATTTTATTTTATTTGGGCAGGGGAAGTTGCCAGGGCAGAGAGTGGATATGAAGGAAGGGGTAAATGAATGGGATAGAGATGTATGATATGAAAGATAGAAAAAATAAATAAAAAGAAAGTTTTTAAAAAATAAAAAATAAATAAATAAAAATAAAATAAAATGCTAGACTTACTTCTAACAAGGCTCACTCCATTCTCTCTGTGGGAATGGCCTTTGTTGCTTCATCAGCCTGTAGCTGTCTCCAGGATGCCCCATCTCCAGGTGGGTTAGCTTTTGTTTGGGATGTATATTCCTTAGGAACAGACTTCACTAATCTGTCCAATGGTGCCCAGAACACCGCTGCTCCAAATGGCATACATTTGAGCAGGATGCTGGCAATTTGTGTTTTCTCTATGCCAGCTACTCCTTTGATGATCCTAAGAGGCAGAAGACGTGAAAGACTGCCCTGGCTCATGCAGTGGGCCCAGAGTGACAGGCTCAGGCCTCTGAGTTCCTGACTGTCTCTCCATCCTTCCATTTGTAGCCAGAAGTTTTCCTGTGTCTCACCTGGTCCAAAGTCACTCAGACCCAAGTAAACACACAGAGGCTTATATTAATTAAAACTGCTCAGGCTTTCTACTGACTAGCTCTTACATTTAAACTCAGCTCATTTCTGTTAATCTATATGTCGCCATGTGTTCCTTGGCTTTGCCTGTGCTACTACATGCTGCTCTCTGGATGGCGGGCTGGTATCTGCTGACTCAGCCTTCCTCTTCCCAGAATTCTCCTTGTCTGCTTCTCCTGCCTATCTTCCTGCCTGGCTACGGGCCAATCAGCATTTTATTTAGCAGTCAATCAGAGCAACACATTCACAGCATACAGAACATCCCACAGCACCTTCCCTTTTCTGTCTAATCAAAAAAGGAAGGGTTTCAGACTCAGAAGGACAAACATAGTATGTACTCACTCATAAGTGGATACTAAATGTGAGGGAAGGATGGATGGCCAGACTGCAATCCACAACTCCAGAGAGGCTAGCTAACAGGGAAAGACCCTAGGAGGGACACATGGATGACCCTGTGAAGGAGAAGTGGATGAAATCTACATGAGTGGACTGGGTGTAGGGGGTAGCAGAGGGTGAGGAGTGGGGGATGAGAACATAGGGAAATGGGAGGATCAAGCTGGAACAGGGACAGAGTGGGAGGGCAGAGAGGAAGATACCATGATAGATGAGGACTTCATGGGAATAGGAAGAGGCAGGGTGCTGGGGAGGCTCTCAGGAATCCACAAGGTTGACCCCACCTTGGTCTGCTGGCAGTGGTCCAGAGGGTGCCTGGACTTGTCTACTCTAGTGACCAGCTTAGAAATAACCTAGCTGTCATCATAGAGCCTTTGTCCAGTGACTGATGGGGGCAGATACAGAGAGATCCACGGCCAGGCACCAGGTTGAGCTCCAGGAATCCAATCGATGAGAGAGAGGAGAGATACTGCAGGCGAGGGACATGGAGATCATGATGGGAGGACGTACAGAGATGACAGGCCACACTAGTGGAAGCCCATGAACTGTGGACTGGTGGCTGTGGAGCCCCCATGGGACTGGACTAGGCCCTCTGGATATGGAAGACAGTTGTTTGGCTCGAACTGTTTGGGGGGCACCCAGGCATGGGGATCAGGATCTGTCCCTGGTCTATGGGCAGGCTTCTGGAACCCGGTGCCTGTGGTGTGACACCTTGCACAGCCTTGGTGCAGTGGGAAGGGGCTTGGACCTACCTAGGTTCAGTGTGCTGGGCTCTGCTGACTCCCCAGGGGAGACCTCGATTTGGGGGATGTGGGGATACAGAGTGGCTTGGGAAAGAGGGCTGGAGGGTGGGAGGAGGGAGGAGTGGGGATCTGTGGATAGTATGTGAAGTAGAAAATTTCTTAATAAAGAAAAATGAAAGAAAAAAGAAAATACACACAAAAAAGGAAGGGTTTAACTTTAACATAGTAAAATTACATGTAACAAAACAGTTATCAAGCAAGAGTGACAGTTATAATATCCAGTCTATTCTGATTCTAAAGTGCCATTGACTTTGATCAAGGTCTCACTTTCCAGAATATTCCAGACTTTTCTTGAAGAATCTTTCTGAAAAAAATTTCTCTTTTCTGACCCTATGTTCCCACCGGATTAGAAAACCCCAGACCCTTACTTGGTACTATCGGTGACCCAGTAGACACACAGCCAAGTACCCTGTGGACTGAGGTGGCAAGTGATCACCAACAGCCAGAATTAGAGGGATGCTATGCTGGAAACCCATCTTTACCTAAAATGTGTCTTGGGCTTGTTCTATCCCATCCTAGTCTCTTAGCTAGTCCTCATCCAGTGATGAGAAGTATTGATCACATGGTCCTTAGTGTTCTGTGCCTAGGGAATTTTTAATTGGAGAAATCCCTTTGCGTGTGTGTGTGTGTGTGTGTGTGTGTGTGGTGTGTGGTGTGTGGTGTGGTGTGTGTGTGTGTGTGTGTGTGTGTGTGTGTGTGTGTGTGTGTTTTCTTTTGTCACTGTATCCAAGAAAATGCACAATGTTCCCTGGGCCATATGTAGTGTTCTCTAGGGACACATGTCATGTCAGTGTCCTGGGGTGAATACTCATGTGTGCTAAGCCCCAGCTCAGGAAGCCTGACGCCCTTCCCTGATATACACGGCAGACAGTGCAGCTTTAGGCAGATCACTCCAGGCAGAGCTGCTTAACCTGTTTCTCTTTCCACCCAAGATATGTTCCTCCAACCCTAGGTATTTGGGTACAAAATCAGGTATCCAAATCAAACACTAATGATAATAAGTCATAAAGGAATTTATTTCAAAACAATTCTTTGGCATAGGAATAATTTTACCATTTGTTAAAGACAAAACAAATTTGCATAGGAATAATTTGCTTGTTTATCTTTCCATAAAAGCTTAATTCTGAGCTTAATATTTACTTTTTTATATTTGTTTTTGTTTCTTTGTGTAGTTCTGGAATTCACTCTGTAGACCAGGCTGGCCTCGAACTCACAGAGATCTGCCTGCCTCTGCCCCCTGAGTGCTGAGATTAAAGGTGTGCGCCACCACTGCCTGGCTGATACAGAGCTTCTTCAGTGTCGTAATATAAATAGCTTGGTAAACCATCATGTGTTGTCTGTGTGTGTTCAGAGTGGATTCTGAGAACACGGTCCCCCTACTCCCACAGCTCAGATTCATGCATGTTCATCTCATGTGTCCTCTGAGACACCTGTCCTGGGGACAGCCTGTGCCCCCGACAATGTGCAAAGAGGAAAGAAATGGCAGATAGACAGAGGTACTAAATTTGGAACATCCGAAGGAAGCCATTCCCTGTGGAAGTTGTTTTCTATCCCCTGCTGTGGGAATGAGCAGCTGGAAGTTCGTTTTTGGAAAGATTGCTGCTCTGCCTGAAAATCTCTCAGTTAGGAACTCCAACATGGTGAGAGATTCAGCAAGTACCCCGCCCCCCACCCCACTGTCTACTCTAGATGTTGTTTTTGTTTTGTTTTGTTTTGTTTTTTAGAGACAGGGTTTCTCTGTGTAGCTTTGCGCCTTTTCCTGGAACTCACTTGGTAGTCCAGGCTGGCCTCGAACTCACAGAGATCTGCCTGGCTCTACCTCCCGAGTGCTGGGATTAAAGGCATGCGCCACCACCGCCCGGCCTAGATGTTGTAAGCACCTTGTTTGATGATAGTGCTTTTGCTTGCTTTCTCTATCAGGCTACATAAGTCATCTCTATTGGA